GTTAAATAAAATACAGGTCATAATAGCTGTAGTTTTATGCTCAAGGGACAAAAAAATGAGATACAATAGGACAAGTTTTCTGCTTATCAGTTAGAGATTAAAAAAAAAAACCTCAGCTTTTTATTATTAAAATAAGAGAAAGATTCAAGACTCCACGTAACTTTGATATTCCAGTTTTATTACAGTGGCTCGCCTTGATATTCAAGGCCATGTTTTTGCTTCTCTCTGAAAAAGAGTTATAGCAACAACAGTAAAAACCAGTTTTTCTTCAAGCAAAAAACAAGGGAGCCATCTGTCAAGGATGCTTTAATTTGGAATATTTTTGGTTAAAACAGGAGTTGGATTTAGTGGCAATTTTCAATTCAAGAACTCGGTCCAAAGATAATTTTCTTCGCCCTGGTAGCCCTTTCCCTCTTCTCCAAACTTAAAATCATCCTTGAGAAATCCCTTTCAGCCCCTAAATCAGTAACGATACAACGATTTCTGGGATCAGAAAGATTCCAGGCAATAAAGAAACAGAAAATGTGTTTTGGGGAAAACACAAAAAGATTTGAAAAGAAATCAATTGTCAACAGTTCCTAAAACAGTTTGGTTGCAGGTACAGAAAACGCAATTAAGGCATTCACAGCAAAACAAATAAAAGAGGAAAAATTGTATTTTACATCATTCCATAATACAGAACATCAATTTAATCCCGTTTTATAGGTGTGAGAACAGAACCTACCTATAACTCATCAAACAATTGCGGTTTCCATTTATTTTTTTTGCTACTTCAATTCTCCTCGAAAAAAAATGTGTCTTATGTGGTTGATAAGACTCAACATTGACTAGATGCCAAAAAATAAAATAAAATTCATAATAAATTTCAAATTTAAGGAATTAGTGAAGATGACACTGAAAATATTTCTACTTTGGACCATGGATGTAAAATGTATGGCTTCATATTTAAGTACATCATACCATAAATTTAAGGCTGGCACACAGCACCCAAATATATAGAAGACATTAATTTATACAAACACAATTCTTTTTTCCAGCAAGAATTGTTCAGCGATATTATTCCACAGTCTGGAATCCAAAATGACATAGCCCAGATTTAATTTTTTTTATTTACTGATGGAGCTTTTAGAAGATGGTTAAAGTGCACACATATAAAAGGGCTTGTTTTACTCATCAGAGCTCTATGTACAAATAATCCCTGTATTTAAAAAATAATCCCTGATTTACTGCTGTTTGCAAACTGCCTAGCCTTGTTGTGAAAAGCAGATCAAGTGAATATTGAATTCTGTAGTCTCAGAAAAAAACTACTTTGAAGAAATTCTTTGAGAAATTCATCCTGGGACTTTAAAAAAAAAAAAAGGAAAATGCTAAATTCCGCAGTTTGATTTGTAACGCTGCTTTGTAATACGATTTAAGAACTTCTATAACAATCATCGTACCGATGGTGTCTTCCGCACGCCCATCGGTGCGAAGGAGAAATGGAAACAGGTTCAAATCCCAGGAATTTGCAAGTTGGCAAAAATTGACCCTCGGCAGGAAACGGGAGCGGAAAACTCCATTTTATAACCCCCGCTTCAGCCAAATTCATTTTGGCAGCAAATTGTACCTCAAGAGTAAAAGAGTCTTTTTGAGTTTCGGATTTTTCTTTCTTTCTTTCTTTCGTAGTTAATAGCAAAAGTCCCCACAATGGCTTAAGCCAGTGTTTCTCAACCTTGGCAACTTGAAGATGTCCGGACTTCAACTCCCAGAATTCCCCAGCAGTGGTTA